CTTCCACGATACTGGTCCCTGTTGCCAGAAAGTTTGGGGACCACTGGTGGACTGCACCCCACAGACCTACAAGCCCTGTGCTTGCCCAGCTCCAAGACTGAAGAAAGAGCCTAGAGTCCGCAATAGAGACATTAATGGTTTAATGAATCAGGGGAGCATTCATGTCTGAAGCAAGGTCGTGGAGCAACACCCCACCGTGTGAGGTGGACGGCAGGCAGGACATGGTGGCAGTTGTTGCTTCTGGGGGAAGGGGAGATTGCCAGTTACAGTGGGAATTGACATCAGGTTGGCTCATTGGTTACCAGGGAAACTAGCAGAGGGGCACACCCCTCACAGCGCCTTTAATAGGAACAATTACTAGCTGGGCCCTGGGGCAAGTATGTAGCAAGGTCAGTCATGTGATTGGGCTGTCAGTGAAGCAGGCACTGGTCGATCAGGGGATGTACAGAAAGCAAGAGAACAGCCATGTTGAGTGTCCTGACTATACATGTCTAGTCTGATGGGCTTTTTAAACTTTAAAAAAATCTATATTGTGATTTATAAGATAGATAGAAGATAGATAGATAGATAGATAGATAGATAGATAGATAGATAGATTTGGTCTTCATCCCCATTTTTAACACAGAGCTCCTGAAACCTTTGGAATTTATGAGTGCAATAATAAAAAAAAAAAACTTTGGAAGTGATAAGTGCAATTTGTTGTGCTAATTAGGTGACTTTTGGACCTCACCTAAGCTGGTTGCCAGGAGAACCAACCAATTAGAAGGGTGTAGCTTTCAGTCCTACCCTCCCACTTCTGGGGAGGGGAGAGAGGCTGGAAGTTGAATCAATCTACAATGGTCAATGATTTAACCAACCATGCCTATGTAATAAAGACTCTATAAACACCCAAAAGGATGGGATTCAGAGAGCTTCTGAGGTGGTAAACACGTGGAGATTTGGAGAGAGTGGCACACTTGGAGAGAGCATGGAAGCTCCTTTTCACCATACCTTGCCCTACACATCTCATCCATGTGGTATTTATCTGCATCCTTTATCATATTCTTTCACAATACACCAGTAAGCAAAATGTTTCTCTGAGTTCTGTGAGCCGCTCTGGTAAATTAATTAAACCCTAGGAGGGGGTCATGGAGCCTCTGATTTATAGCCACTTGGTTAGAAGTACAGGTAAGGACCTGGGCTTGGGGCTGGCATCTGAAGTAGGGGAAGGGGCAGTCGTATAAGACTGAACCTTTAGCCTGTGGAATCTGATGCTATCTCTGGGTAGATGGTGTCAGAATTGAGTTGAATTCTCAAACTTCCTGCAGATGTTCAAGAATTACTTGTCGGTGGGGTGGGAAACTACCCCTCCCTCCATACATAGAAATTTGGGTCCCAAATCACTCATTTAAAATCATTCCAGACTTCCACTCAGAAATAAAAACTGATTTGAAAAGCTATAGATCCTTCATTACGTCACTGAAAAACAGAACAGACCCCACTGTACTCTAAGAAAAAGTGGAGCAGGAGATTGTCCGTATGGTTTTATAGTTGGCTTTCTTTACTGTGAACCAGATCAGAGTAGAAAGGCATCTGTCATCAGACATCGCAAAGGCCACTGCCCTAGTTAAACTGTTGTGAACTGGAGCACTTGAGTCTCAGTAATTCAGGACTTTTTTTATTTTCAGCACATGTCCCCATTCATTCTTGTAGAAATGAAGGCCATCTCTTGACTCCAAATGTGCCATTTACCTTTCACATATAATCTGTAACTTTTGTCCAACCAGTAAAAACAGAAAAGTGAAAAAAATGTTGCCTTCTCAGATAAAAGAAGTTGAAAGTGTTTGAGTAAAAGGGAAAGGGAGAAAGTTTGCTAGGGTCTATTCAACCAAAAAAAATACATTTCTAGTTGTGTACCCTAAATGGCTTCCTTTCACTTTATCATTTTTTCTGTAACGCATCCTACTGACCATAAACAGATATCACCATTAACAAAGGAAAATACCTCCATTCCATACAAATGCATGTAATGCAAACACTACTTGCAATGAGGGAAAAAGCCTATATTTTGCAAGATTTTTCTATTCAAGTGCCAGCTAGATCTGAATCGGCATAGCTTATTTCAACTAGAGTTCAGAAATGGACCCAGGATTCATGCAGGTATCTCTTTAGTCCTGTTAGATACTCTGGATTCGTCTTCTATCTTATTATTGTATTATTTTTCCCTGGCAGGTAAAACTCTGTCCAGTATTGACTAAGGTCAAGGGAAAAGGATGATCTGAGTAGAAGAGGTAGTAGACATGTTGCCGGCCATGAGAAGATGCAATTAGGTTTTTGCTCAGTAACAGGAGGGTTATGTTGTGGTTATGGACACTGGAATCCAGCTCTCCTGATTCAAATTCTGTTTTTTGGCTGAATAACCTTGGGCAAGTGATTTAGCTGATCTGTAACTAGTAGCCTCATTTGTAAAACAGAGGTGATGATAAGAGCACTTCACAGAGGTATTGTGAGGATTAAGTGAGTCAATAAAGTAAAGCATCTCAGTCAACCCCTAGTAAGTCTTGAGTAAATATCAAAATTATGCAAATTTCATGCATACATTTTCTCATATTATCATTCTTCCAAAATATTTTCATGTAGTTACCTAGCATTCAACCATAGAGATAAACAATAATTGATTTAACTTACTGCCTATAGTAATATATTTTTGGATTGTTTCAATTTTTCACAGTTACACCTTTGCCTATTTTTTCAGATTAACATTAAAGTCACTTTGTATTAAAGTATTTAAAGAAAACTACTCCTGGAATTTTAATTGGAATTATACTAAGTCTATACATTTATTTGGGGCACAATATTTTACAAAGTCCAATTTTCTCATCCTGTGATATAGGATGTCTACATATCTAGTCTTCTTTAAAAGTGCCTCAAATATTTTATAATTATTTTTATAGAGATCATCTATATTTATTTTTACATTAATACTTAGGTATTTCATAATTCTGCCATTATGAACTATTAAATGAACTTATTCCTATTTCTTACTCTTATGAAATATTTAGTATTTTGTTTATGGGGCTTTTTATACAGATGTTATAATTTTTCATAGTAAAAAAGTCAAAACTTTTTTGGGTATAACTGTTTTTATGCACAGAAAAATAATGTCAACCTACATCCTGAATTTAGAGCAATATTTGCCTATACTTTTTTTTAATTAAAGAACTTTCTAAAAGCTAAAAATTTAAATCCATAATGTAAATGTACCTCTAAGAAATAGGACTATATACCATAGAGAAATCACTATAATAAACAGCATTCTTGCTTCATCTCCCTTAAGCAAAGGGTAAGAAGACCATCTTAGTCCAAATAGAAAGAGCAAGAACTTAAGGAAACTCCATGCTTTGTTAACAGGTTAATTAATGAATTATAAAGTACAGAAGTCTAACATTTACCACAGTGCTGCCTTCTTTTCAACATATTCCTCCTTAGCATTCTTCTCATACTTCTGTAATTATCTTGTTTATTTATTGTTTACTTGTTTATTGTCTATTTTTTTTTCCTACTCCCAAAGTAATTTCTATTAGGGCTGCAGCCATGGTTGTCTTATTTACTACAATTATCAACACCCACTGCACAGGAGGAAAAATTTTTCTTTCTTCCCTTCTAGGTTCTTTGGCTGACCAAATAATTAAATTGACATAAGATAGATTAACAGGAGAAAACAAATGTAATTTCATACATACAGGAGCCCCAAAGATATGAAACCTAAAGACAATTTGAACAATTGAGGCCTATATGCCATCTTGAGCTAAGGAATGGGATAGGGGTCTGGAGCTTCAAAGGGGAGGAGGTAATTCACAGGACAATCACAAGAGCAGTTGTTTGGTAATTAGATATTTTCCTTGCCATATGGATAGGTCTTTCAAATAAAAAGTTATCTCTGATAATAACTCCATCACACATTCCCCCTTGTCACTGTCTCTTTTCTTCTCCACATCCAGCCCCTGCACCTGCATAACCAGTGTTTTCCTCTTGACCTATTATTCATAGCAGCACATAAATATCTTTCAATGTTTCTTACCTTAAAATAAAAATCCTTTGATTCAATATCACTCTTCAGTTATGGCCCATTTCTCTGGCTTTTATAGGGGGAATATGTGTGTGTGTGTGTGTGTATGCACATATGCATACACACACGTCTTTATAGATATATACATGTATCTATAAAGATGCATGTAGGTTGATATATCTGGTGATGGGAAGACACACTTTTTCTAGATGTTTCTTTCAATAAAGTAAGAAAGGTCATCAACTAACAGTATGAAAGGAGTATTGGAGATTTGAGCAGTGAAGAAATGATGTGAAACAATCGTCTCAGAAAGTGTGAAAGTGAATTTATCAATAGTAGGGTAATGTAATAGGACTCAAAAGGTTGTACTGAGCAGCCATTTAGGATGTAGTCATATAATAAAATAGAAACAAGTGGCATTTCCTCCAGTCACATTCATCTATTCAGGGAGCAAAATGGCAAGGGTACTGAGGATATACATATTCAAGGGAGAAATTATAGTAATGAACCATGGCATCTAAACCAAGTAAGAAGGAAGTTAGTGCTTGAAAAAGTGGTGAGTGAATGCATTGTGCAAATGGGACCAAACAATAGTTGTGAAAGTAAATGAATGGAAAGGCAGGAGATTCTTTGACTCTCAGGTGAATCAAACCCTAAATAACACCTCCCCTGAAATTCTCCAAAGGTTCTGGACAGTGTGACTTAAACAACTTGTACACAGCTTGAACTGTCATGAAGATTTCTCAAAAGGCTCACTGTAGATTTCCTCTACCCAGTCAGCATATGATTTTATTTACTTACAATTTCTCAGAAATACATCCTTTGAGAAAAGCAGGGTCCATCAGTACAACAACTATATCCCTTTTTATTTTAAAGTATTTTAAATTGTTTTAATGCACCAACCAATAAGCAAATCATCATTAAAACCAAACAGCCTATTAGAGCCCCATCCTTAAGTGCTGTTTTGTCTCTCTGCTTATTATTCTCTCAACAGCGATAAAACAGAAATCATATGACCAAATGTGAATGCCAATACATTTCCAGGATAATCTGAGCGACAAAAAAATAGAATCCTGTAATGCCATCTCAAATAATCTTCAGAAAACTGTTAGGAGGGCAAAAAGCCCATAAAGTAAGGCGCAAGGGTAGGCAATGAGAAGCTGCTGTCCTTCCATGGCCAAGGCTGAAGTGAAAATTTTGGAGGCTGAGAGACTACACCAGCCAATGATGACCAGTGCCAACACAGTTCCAAAGGTGCCCCTAGAGCAAAGACAAAGGAGATGGTTATCTTACACCAGGAGAAAAAGAGGTTATTGAATCACAGCTGCCTCTGAAATGTCCTTGGTACAATATTTATAACCACTTTCTCAATTTGTAAAAGGAGGTTGAGGAACCACAGGAACTCAAAGGCCTCAGCTATTTAGAAAATTTTTGAATCAAGTTCACCATTAGAAGCTAAATATTTTATAGGGTGGTAAAAACTCAGATTATTGGAAACAGAAGAATTGACCTGCTGTCACTCTCATGAGTCAACATTCAAATCCCAACTTCCGAAATTCTTTTATATAAGCTATGTTTAGAGACTTCTTTTACAGCTACAGATTTCTTTTCCCCACTTTCTTCCTAAATTTACCCCCAGTATGAGCAGAAAAATGACTGGACTCGCACTCCAGTGGGGTTCCTACTCCCCAGCGCTCCCAGGTCCATGTCCTGGGTTTTTGTCTAGGACAGCAAAGCCTGACACAGCTCAGGGAGGGAACAGATGCAGCAGTAAGGCACAGATGTGTGTGGCCTCCCACCTCATTGCTGAAGATCACTTTGGCAAATAAACGTGTGGATTTTTATAATATCAAAATGAATTTGTTCAAATTGGTATCTTCAAAAAGTAACTGTGGAGACAATTGGTTCTTTAGGAAGAAATGGGAGTGAAGTGACTTTAAAAAATTGCAAAGTGAAATGGTCATTAGGTCAAGTGCTGCTAAGTACCAGCATATTGTTCTAGCCACTGTCAAACTATACTGCCTCACTTGATCCTGGCTGAATCTGAAATTGAGAATTGTGTTTATTATTTGTGAGAATGACAGAAATACCTACTTTTAATAATTGAACCAAAGCAAAATAAGTGAAAAAGTGTACAATATAGCTTATGATGCCTTAGATTATAAACAAACGAAAAATATTTTAAAACACTCTAGTAAATATTACATTTGTAGGTTTAGTTAATATCTATTAGAAATAAAATTTAGAGTGATTCAATTTACAGGTTTTGGTGAACAAAAATGTGAGATTATATATAATTCATTTGAATGTTATAGTAATATGCCCAAAAAGGCAATTTCAGTTTAATGGTCTTAGAGATCAGATAGCTTATTCCCCATTAATATAATTTAAAGGATTTCTAATTCATCCTTTACATTTCAGAATGAAAATCTAATGAAAAATGTCCAGACCTCTGATGATTCTCAAAATTCAAGAGTTGTAGTTTTTATTTTCTTTCCCTAATAATCTGGAGTCATTTAAGATACCCCAAAGCTAAACTTTGATGGAAATAATGTCTAAAACCTAGAATTTTTAAATGGTTGATCATTATAGTATTCTTTGGCAAAAGCATCTGACAAAATGGAAGTTGTAAAACTGAACTCTGTAGTAACTTGTCAAACATCTGTACCAAACAACATAGTAAACAGAACAGCTTGCTAAGGAACATGATATACAAAAAGTGGAATTTTTCCATGGACAAGACTCAATAAATACACCTTTAACTCACATTGTACTTATACCTTCAAAGTTTCCATTTTCTGTTGTATTCCTCTCTTTTAAGTGTTAAGCACTTGCTGGTAAAGTAAGAGTTTGCTCTGTTATTCTCAAGACTATTACTTTCAAAATGAAACCATATTAAAACAAAAAAAGCATTTCCATCTATGTCATTCTCAATAACATTATGAAGAAAATATCTGAGATTATATCTAAACAAAAATATTAAAGTCTTTCTAAAATATTTATCTGGCATTGGCAAAATTGTAATATCCTATCCAGTATAGTGTTGATAACCTAAAACTTGGATCATCCAAGAAAAAAAAATGTGAATTGTGTCTCCTTTGGATGTGGAAGAATGAGCACTGATGGCAAATGTTTATTTCTAATTGGATTTGGAGCATGGCAGGTGACAAAGGACTACGTAATTACTTACTCTTCCCAACCAAAGTGGTAGTGATATGCACTGCCCTGGGAAAGTGCCCGACAGAAGCATATCTACTGAATCATCATTATTATTTTTGAATTGCAAATACTATCTGCCCAGGAAGTAAAAAAGAAAAAAAAATATTGACTGAGCATATATGCTATAAAGTTCTCTAGCAGTAATATCCTCATTAGGCTTCCTGGGAATTCTGCACTGCCAGGAGTCCAGCTGAGAAAGAACACTTGCTTCCCGCCTAGAAGGCAGAGTGCTTGGGAGCTGAAGCAATTTGTCAGTGTGCACCGGGCACTTACTCTTCTTAATTCAAACAAGTGAATTTTCTGTTGTTGGTTATATTACCCATGACGATAGTTCATACTGAAGGATGTGACAACTTACAAAGTGCCAATTTTAAACATAACTTCGTTTAATTTATTTTTTAAATCATCGAAATAGGAACAGCACCTGAGCCAAAACCGACCTACTTTCCTGAATCTGTATGTAGCTTTTAATAGCCAGTTTCCCCAATCCCACTACTAACATGATCAGAAAGAGGCTAACTGTTGTACTGGTGTGGCAAACCCTAGCGATGATTGTGCAGGTGGGGTCAATTAGCACACACAGACACTTACTGCAGTGAAAAGAAGATGGCACAGCTGGACAGGATGACCATGGGTATCAGGCAGTAACCCAGAACACTCGCCACGCAGCCACAGGACACCCCTGAAGAGCTCATCAAGTTTAGTAAGGCGTGAATCCCTAAGCAGCCAATGGCACTCGTGCCATACACGTAACCAAACTGGACTTTTCCTGCCTGAAACAACGGGAAGAAAACGGTTTGAACATAGAACAAACATCAAGAAGAAATCAGATTGTCAACAAAGCAGAGAGTATTTTCGAATCAATCAGCTCAATGCTGCTCATGTCTTTGTAGTATAAGTCTCGAGACTGGGAGTTCTGGAAAAAATACTGCCTGTTATACGGATTCAGGTCATGAAAACAAACACCACCACCCCCCCTCCTTGAACTATACGTGAGATGGCACAAGCGTGCTTATATTTCCAGATTTATATTTTTTATCATAGATTGCCTATTGGGGTACTAGGCATAGGTAAGGATATATTTTTCTCCCCATATCTGTTGAACAATTAAATGGATGAATAAGTTAATGAAAACATTCCAATTTAGTCTTGGAGATTTACAAAACATATTAGTAATATTAGCAAATACCTGTCAGATTTACTATGTCCAGTCCTATTCTAAAGATTTCACATATATTAATTTATTTAATCCACACAACATAATTAGTTGGTACCATTGTTGTACCCATTATACACATGAGGAAACTGAGGTGCAGAGAGGTTAAGGAACTTGCCCAAGGTAAAATAATGGTAAGCAGTGGAGCTCAGTTTTGAATCCAGGCAGTCCAGCTCTAAAATTTAGGTCTTTAACACCTGCAGGAGCTCTAACAAGTCATAAACAAGGGGACTTATTTAACCTTATTTAAGCCAGTATACCCCAAACTTATCTGACCCCAGAATCCTTTGTTTTCATAATGCCTATTACCAGCTTAACTGAACAGACTTTATGAAAAACTGATTTATATAAACCAACTGATAGCAAATCACAAAAGAGGTATTGTTAAAGGAAGTCAGTAGTGTTCAGGATAGACCACTGACCTGAGGATTCATCAAAATAGCCATCACCCACAGAGCACTAGAGACTTGTTCCTGAGCCAGCACCGTTAAACTCATCCAGGGAAAGTCACAATCTACTACTGATTCAACAGAGGATATTTTAATGTTTGCTACCCGAGGATGCCAAAGCTCCAGTAAAGAATGCATGTCATTTTTATATATATACATTAAGCTGGTTAGAAATTCTAGATAAAGATTGAGGAGGCTGACTCCAGTTTTCATGGGAATTATTTGAAAACAGCAGAGGATCTGGTAAGTTGATTCAGAGAGAGAGCTTTTTAGCTGTCCTTTTTTTCTGCTCCATAGCTGTCCTTATGTCTTACAGAATAAAGAGATATTTATTTTGTAATTAATTAATGGAGAATATCATGACTGTTTTAATGTTTAAAATTGTCCGGCTATTTTGAAGTTTTCTTCCTCTGCAGTTGGGGAAGTTGATCACTACAAAGTTCTTTCACAAAATGTCCCTGGGCTATGCTGCAGAATTCTTTGCTGCATTAGTCATAATAAGTCCTCCTGGCTATTTTGTGAAATAATGCCAATAATGCTAATGGGCATGCTAAAAGAAACACATCAGTTATGCACTGCTCTATTGGGTGAGTTTGCTCCACTTGGAAAATAGTGACAATTTCAAATCACTTTCACGTATTAGAGAAACATTCTACTTAATATTTTAATTGGGTGGGATAATTCTGAGGTAGGAATAGTTGTAATGGTGAAACACAACTTCCCTGTACCCAAAGGACACATAGCTGGTCCATGACCCTAACCAGTTTTGTGCATGGGGTAAATAGAGGGTGGATAAAACTAATTTGGTAGTAAAATTGTCCTTTTCCATATCAGTTACTGACCTCTCTCCTTATCTCTTACTTTTGTTAGTTTATCTAATTTGAGGTACAATTCCATCTGGCAGGGCCAGTCCCATTTTTTAAGTTGTTTCAAATTCTAACAAGAACTTGTAATTGAAATGGAAAATAAATGTTCAATTTCTTTTTAAATTCAAAATTTTTAGGTCAGCCTTGTACCACCCTTATTACTACATCTTTACTTGAAATACTTCTTATTCTTCTGATTATGCTTTTATATTGGCTGTGCATGTTCCTTTTCCAGATCACACTCTTAGCTCTACTAGAAAAATTAAATGGAGCCATAGCTTTAAAACACTTGTGTTCATGGTTTGGGGGGTGAAAATAATTTTAAGAGGAAGAATAAGTAAAGTTAAATTTGTGTTGAGTGTTTGAAGCAGTTCTTTTTAGTTTGCTTCCTTCAACATGAAGAAAGTCCACTAAAAGGTGTTGTGCCTTATATAATTATAAATCATAATAAGTGATGAGTATGTGACTATGAATCTTACGCCTCCAGAGATAATGAACAGATTTGAATATTGTTTCTGGATTTAGTTTTGCTTTCTCTAGTACAATGCATATACCAGCCCATAAAAATCATCTTTTACATTTTAATTTTAGATATCCAGGGCAGGGTTAACAGCCTCAAATGGACTCTGAGTTAAATTTGGCTTTATTAATATCCAGTGGAGTTTTTCGGTCCTTATTGTTCTACATGTATCAGAATCAATTCTGAAGTGACCACATCTAATGGTAAAGTTGAAGTGAAAATATTTGCCTAAAAAGTTTGAGAAAATATGCACTTTTACACATTCCCTAAAATTTCACAACTGAAACGAACCTTAAGAACCACTTATATAAACCTCCTTTTTGATCTTCAAAATGAAAAAAATGAAGGCCAAGAAATAGGAAAACAAAAAAAAAAAAGGTTCAGGATTACACCTGGAGGCAAAGTTAGGGGCAGATCCAATTTTTCCACTTTCAGTTGAGTTCTTTGCCTGTATTACTTTGCACTTAAAACAAAAGAGAGGATATTTAAATAATTCCAACTAACATTATGTACCCAAAAAAGATCTTAATGGGATTAATGCTTTCCTTTAAGAGGTGGTAATAGTAATATTTTCTACAGAAAAACAAAGAGCTGTTATATTACAAATTACCTGAAAAAGAAAGATGAGTTAATATATTAAATTGATTGTTTCTGACAATTTGATTAATTGACATGGTCTTACTTAGCAGCTTAATCTAAGATTATCAAATTACTATGACAAAGACAGAAGGGACGTTAGAGACTAAATTAAAACTCTGGTTGATATAGTGTTAGATTAGTTGAGTATTTGCATTTGCTGTAGTTCAAAGGAAGAAATAAGATGCTATAACTAAGTACCATTGTATTGGGTAAATATGATGTGATTATTGACCACACTACAATGCAGAAATTATATTTCTATCAGAATTTCGATTAGTATTATGTAATTAATAATGAAAAGTGAAGACTCATTTAGTTGCAAATACATTTTACAGCTATTTTTGAGAAGTATAGCTGCATTAGGGAAGTGGATAGCTGTAAGAAAGGAAAGTGAAATGAGTAGTTATTTTAAGGACTTTTCTTAGAATCTTTAATTTCCTATATTACCTCTCTTGCCAAATTTATCTCTTTGTGCCCTAATGAAACTGTACTTGTCAGACTGGCTTGACCATCTTGTTCATCCTCTGTTTTTAATGTATTGTCATTACCTCCTTAACACAAAATCATAGACCTTTCTCATTTCTTCTTTTTCTTCCCTTCTTTGGGTGGAGAAATCATTTTTCTAAACTATAAGCTAGAATACCTTCTAAACTTAACCTAGGTGGAAATATGTTTTTCTTTTTGGATGACTCTGAATATCATTACTCCCAGATTTAAAGAATGAAAGAGGCCCATACACAAGACAAATGGAGATGTCAGGGGAAAAATTGCCTTCATAAAAAACAGAAAACTAAAATGATACGGGAAATATACAGATTGAATAAACAAATCACTGCTTATCGTTGCAAGTCAATTTATTCATAATAGCCTAACCAGAAACAAGGAGACTCATCTCATACCTAACAGAATATTTGAAATAGTCTAGAGATAGCTACACCCCAGCAATGAAAATGATGAGTAAATAGAGGGGATTTGTCCAATGTCACAACAGAAATCTCACAGAAAACAAGAAATAAAATTTCAGCCCTCTGTTTCCCAAATCCATGTGTTCCTCCAACTTTTTCAGATCGACAGTCTTTTCTAAACAACAAAAAAGACTTAAATTACAAGAAAATCATTTATATGATTTCCTGCTTTGTTGAAAATCTGTCTTGGTGATTTGATTTTTGAAATTCTATTTAAATTTACATTTTTTATCTGTTGTAATACATGATGGCAGTTTCTCTGTGTCATTATGGTTCTATTAAATATGTCTCTCTCACCAAAAAAAAATGTAGTTATGAATCAAACAATTTTCACTTCATAAAGTGATATACTTTCTTCCGTATTTACGAAGACCTCTTCAAAAATGACATTTGAAAGGACATGCATTAAAATCTGGTACTTGGCTGTGGTGTATGCAGAAGTAGAAATATAATGCTGAAAACATGAAACTTAGATAAACCAATGTTAGCTTAAAAAAAGGAAAATGTAGTGCTTGCTGCTGTCCATTACCAGAAGTAGGGAAGCTCCTAGGACCCCACAGAACAGGATGGGCCCAGTGAGGTCTGTTTCATTCATAATGCTGCCATCTGCTGGCTTCAGTGGGTTTAACACTGTCAATGTTTTTTGCCGTATGTGATCAAAATTAATTCCAAGTTCTATAAAGAAGAAGGGGGAGGAGATAATATAAATATAGAAAAATAAGCATGAGTAATATTCTTTAATTAAAGTTAACAAATATTATTAATTTACTTAGCACTTTAATCTGATTGTTATACCTTCATAGTTTAAAGTTCTACGTAATATATAGCAACCTTGAAACAAAAAAAAAGACTTTTTATTCCCACACAATGAGCTGAAAGATATATTTTAGAGAAATAATTCCATCAAGGAAAAATTTCCCTACCTTCTGCAGCAAATAGAAGCTTAAAATGCAGCCAAAAATGAGGAAATGGACATTATACAGTAAAAATAAAATATAATGGTAGCTAACAAACGAAAAGTCCCATCTTAATGCCCACTGAGATATTTCTTTTTCCTGCATTTTCTATTGCTAACACTTCTGAAACTTGTCCTACCAAACACGCATAATTTTCAATTAGCAGTGTTATCTAATCTAAAGACACTTAGCCTAGGTCTGGGATTTTACTTATACTCCGCCTGATGAGAAGAGCAATACCATGCTAACTGCCTGAAACTCCACAGAGGAGAAAAGGCAATGGCTCATTCAGCAAGTAAAAGCAATCATGGCGTGCATACATATTTTAATAAGGTCAGTGCTCTGTGTTGTTGAGTCTGTGTATTCAGAGATTAAATTCTTCAGACAATTAACCTTTCCCTTTTATGAGTGGTGATGCTAGAATAAAATATCCAAAAGCAGTGGGCTCAGTGTCCATGAGTCTACACTCAATTAGTAATTTCTAATTATTTCTCCAATGCCTTGTTTTTCGAAGAATTCTGACTGCCCCTTTACAGACCCCGCTGCTAGATTCTGCTCCTCTTATATCTTTTTCATTAAAAAAAACAAAACAACCAGCCATTTGACATCCACTGAATATAGAAATAAATGCCAACATCACACCAGTTACTTTCCTCACCACTCCTATAAAGATAAACTTTAAGATGCATCTGGAGTAGAAAAAAAAAGGACATTCACAAAGGAGAATATAACATCACCACTTAGGAACCAGTAATCAAGCTGGTTACCCTCCTTCTCTCATTTTAAATTTGAATATGGGTGAGGTGGAGGTTAGGAAAAACTGGAGCTAAACTACTAGAAAGTACATACATTTGAGCTAAAAAGAGTGGAATTCTTTTTAACTGAATATTTTTACTGAATTTTGCTGTAAGCCTTACAAGATTTACATGTGTTGTTCTTACTGACGTGCATTGAGGCTGGTACTGTTATTTTATTCCTACTTTGTGCATCAGATGGCTGAGGTTTGGAGTGATGAACTTTTCCAAAGTCACAGAGCCAGTAATAGAAAACTAAATAAATAAAATAGTTCAATTAAAAAATGGACAGAAGAACTGAACAGAAATTTTTCCACAGAAGACATACAAATGGCCAACAGGTACATAAAAATGTGCTCAACACCATTAATCATCAGGGAAATGCAAATCAGAACCACAATATCATCTCACATCTGTTAGAATGGCTAACATCAAAAAGACAAGAAATAAGTGTTGGCAAGGATGTAGAGAAAAGGGAACATTTGTGCACTCTTCGTGGGAATGTTTATTGGTGCAGCCAGTATGGAGAACAGTATGGGGGTTCCTCAAAATGTTTTTTAAAAATAGAACTACTGGGCTTTCCTGGTGGCGCAGTGGTTGAGAGTCCGCCTGCCGATGCAGGGGACACGGGTTCGTGCCCCGGTCTGGGAAGATCCCACATGCTGTGGAGTGGCTGGGCCCATGAGCCATGGCCGCTGAGCCTGCGTGTCTGGAGCCTGTGCTCCGCAGTGGGAGAGGCCACAACAGTGAGAGGCCCGCGTACCGCAAAAAAAAAAAAAAAAAAAAGTAAATAAAAAATAAAACTACTGTATGATCCAGCCATGCCACTTCTGGGAATATATCTGAAGGAAACAAAAACAGGATATCAAAGAGATATCTGCACCCCCGTGCTGAAAGCAGCAACTGCCTAGACATGGAAACAACCAAAGTGTACACTGATGGATGAATGTGTAAAAAAGTTGTGGTATATATATATATATAACAATTTTTTTATAAATAATTTTTTATATATACATACATTGGAATACTATTCAGTCATTAAAAAAACAAGGAAATCCTGTCATTTGTGACAACATGAATGGCCCTTGAGGGCATTTTTCTAAGTGAAATAAGCCAGACAGAGAAAGTCAAATACTGCATGGTATCACTGGTATGCAGAGTCTAAAAAAATTTTAAGTCAAACTCATAGAGTTTGAGCAGAAAAGTGGTTGCCAGGGGCTAGGGATAGGGTACAAAACAAGAGGGTACAAAAGAAAAAAATAACCCATGCTTTTAATCATATAGCTGTTGTTGAGTCAATATGCATCCAATCTCATAAGGTTTGTAGTTTTTTGAAGTGAGCCCAGTTCTCCCATGTGAAGGATTGTCTCCCTAAATCATTGGTACCTGCCATTCAACTTCCCTTCCCAGGATTTAGTAACGCTCTTTGGTCAGAGACAGGGTATAATTCAACTTCTTTTATAGTTGTGTATACCACCTAAACACTTTGCAAAGCTGACATTCTACACACAGAATACTAGATGAACTTTCAATGATCGCCATGACATACAGGGACCTTGCTCTAACAGGGGCCTAGACGTTTTTAGAAGGTCAGCCAGACATTGCCCGAACTAGGATAGAAAGTGTATCTTTCACTCTTTTCACATCCAGGTTGACAATTGATAGCCAACCCAAGCTTGAAAAGAAAGAATTTGAATTTAATTTGAATTAAATAGTGAGCAAATCATTTACATTTCAACTTCCCTTTTTAGTTTCACAGTGTATTTATATATTTCTTAATGAACATACACTTTGGAGTATATGAGTAGTTCACCAACTTAAAATAGGTTAGAATGTCCAATGTGATTTTTAAAATAGCAGAAGATTTTAAAAATTGAGAAATACTATAGTTTAAATGAATTTCACCTGAGGCTTATGTTGTCTTCAAACTTTATTTTCAATTTATATATTTACGTTAACAATATGTTTTCAGTATTTACCACAATAAAGTGGCCTTTAATTCAAAATGCCTTTCTCCTCTAAAAGCATAATCATTATTCCTGAAGAAACCCAGATGAAAATGCTTTATGAGACATTATTACTGATATCAGCCATTTATTTGATGGCATAATTAACTTTTGCATGTTTCAACATGGAGTTATGAAACAATGAATGAACATAAGACCTACTAAATATTTTCATAAGAAAAAATATTTTATGTGTTTTTTACCAAAATACATCTCCATAATATTTTGTTTTCAAATTTATTATAAGGTATGCAAATGAGATACCTATTTATCAATGCAAATGAGATACCTAGGTATCTCATTTGATACCTAGATACCTAGGTATCAATAGATACCTATTATAAGGTATGCAAATAGATACCCTAATATAACAACTTATTTTACAAGATAAAAAAAGATGAAACTGCTGTGAAATTTGAATGCAAAATTTATTGTTTTGCTGTCATCTAGTGGTAGTAAAGTATACAATATATATGTTATAAAAATGAATTAATATCTTTGTTTACTATGCAAATTGTGGCACTGGCCTTTCAAATGTAAACATCAGGCTATGCTACAAATGTAAATACCAAATATCACAGTAATTTTTCTAGTCTGACAGATTTGAATTGACTATTATTCTTCAAGATGCATTTGTTAACATTGATTATACATGACCAAATAGCAAAGGTTATTATTCTTACATAAAACGAAACAAGTCTTTTAGACAACTAAGTGTTTAAGGAATAAATCAGTGCACTTTCAAATAGCATGTTTTTGTGCAAGGGATGTTAATTATTATAACTTCATAATTTTATAGGTTGTTTTGGTGTACGCTCAATAAAAACTAGCAAATGTCTTTTATCATCTTATCCTAGAAATCCTGCCTATGGTCTTTTTATATCTTTTAGACAGATGAGGGTTGAGGCTTTCACAAAGTCACCCAGCCTGAAGAACATATTGGATCAGAGTCTAGAAATTTCATAGACTCAAAATGCAAAATTATATCAGATACTCTCTCTTCTAATATACAATATATTTGGTGGAGATAATCACAAAGAGAAAACAAAACAATCTAGGAATTTCTCTGAGATGTAGTAGGAGGGGAAATCTAGTATATTTCCTATTTGAAATTTAAGAAGACATCATGGGAGAATGTATTTGAGTTTAGAATATTAGAATGGAGGCATCTGAGACAAGTAGAAAAAATTATTTTCAGTAAATGTTACAGGAAAAATTGATTAATCATTAAAGAAAAAAACAAAGTTAAATTCTACTTCATGTACTAACCTAAAACAATTTTCAATGAATCAAAAATTTAAGTGAAAAACAAAAAGATAATTTAAAAATTTAAGAATCTACAAGAGGATATAAGCAGTATCTAGAGCTGGAGAAATATATTCTAAACAAAAGAGCAATTGGAAAGAAAAGTTACCAAGAAAAATATTGTGGAGTTAAAAACATAAACATGATTAATAAAATGACTATATGCCCTAATATCCCACAAACAAATTAGATGGCAAACACAACCTAGGAAAAAAAGCTTGAAATACATATTCCAGACAATAATTAATATCTTTACCATATAAATATCTCTACAAATAATAAAGGAAAGGAAAAATCTTAAGATTCCAATAGGAAATCTGGCAAAGAACTTGAAAAACAGAAAGAAGTAAAAACATGTAAAACAATAAACATACGAAAAAACATATAAAACAGTCAATAAACATATGAAAAAAATGTCTAACTTTTCTAGTAACCAAGAAATAAAAAGTATTCTTTTTTGCCTTTTTGCCTATCAAATTAACAAAGACATTTCATATTCTACTATGGAGGTCTGTTGGCTCATTATTTTTCTAGATGAGCCTGACAGTATAAATGACTTTTGACCCAGTAATCCCAATGTTATAGTTCCATCCTAAGGACAGATTCTGTACAGGTCAAAGTTTTTACTATGATATTCACCAAAGCATTATTGATTATAAAGAATGACCTCTATGGTAGATTTAAATTATAGTACTTGTATATAGTAAAATATTATGAAGCCATTACATGTCATATTTTCAAATAACATTTAATGACTTTAAAGAATGCCTGTATAGAAATGCTTATGATATAAAGTAACTTTAAAAAATATAAAACTTTATGCCCATAGTATGATCCAACTTTTATTTTTAAGTATTTACCAATATATTCATAGTCAAAGAAATATACTATTTCATTTTTTAGTGTATATATGTATATATTCATAGAAAAACAGAATAAAGGGTGGAAGAAATTACATCAAATTATTAATGATATGTCTCAGAGACAAAATTTTTGGTGATTTTTAAATATTTTTATTCATATGTTTCTATATTTTCCAAATTTCTATTTTGAATATAGATTAATTTTATAATTAGTCAATTGATAGTTTTTTTTATGTAGAGATGTTGGTGGAGTCAAGGAAAATTCTTGATGAGAATGGCTTATAACTTTCAGATGTTAGATATCAGATGCAGAGGCAAATTAGAATGAATTGGTTAAGCGTAATTGATCCAAAAACGTAACTGGCTTCTAAAGAGCCAACAAATCGATTATATAAATCTCTGTGCTTTTCTGAATGGTTTAAATCTTTCCTCTTTTCTTAATTTGAAGGCAAAGAGAGAAGAATGTTTTACTATCAGGGGGCTGGCTGTGTTCATAAGAAGCAAACAATGATCTTTTGATGTGAAATATTGGGAATTTTAGCCTATCCCTTTTCACTGGACTACATACAAAAGAGTTAGAGCAGTTAGCCTGTGAATATTTCTCCTTGGCTTCCAAATTTTTTTTTTTTTTTTTTTTTTTTTCCGGTGCGCGGACCTCTCACTGCTGTGGCCTCTCCCGTTGCGGAGCACAGGCTCCGGACGCGCAGACTCAGCGGCCATGGCTCACGGGCCCAGCCGCTCCGCGGCATGTGGGATCTTCCCAGACGGGGGCACAAAGCCGTGTCCCCTGCATCGGCAGGCGGACTCTCAACCACGGCACCACCAGGGAAGCCCGTTGGCTTCCAAATATAAATCTCCTTGAACTTTAGTTTTCTAGCATCATGTTGACATTCCTTAAGAACAAAAGTGGCAGATATAAATTGGCTGGATTAAAAAAAAAAAATCCATGGATGGAAGATGCCTGAAATCTTTGGGGGCCACTTTTAACTGCAAGGGTCCCTAGGTTTCCTTGCCACCAACAGTGCTATTTACTGGAATCATATTTCTTCCCACTTGGTCGTATCTATCTGAGATGTGCGGGCTCACATGAGCCAGGAAGGGGAAAAAAACCTGTCTTTTCTCCATGACAACAAAAAAAGAGTACTGAGAAACTACCCACTTTGCTCCCAGGCAAACATAGCAGAAAATAGTAAGATATGCTTGTGGTTACTCTGATATAATCACTCTGCCAAAAGATGTCTTCACTGTTGTCTAGATATGGTCAGGGAGTCCACATTCAAGAAACAGTGAAGAAACATTTAAAAACTGCAAGACTAGCACAGCAATAGCTCGTATCTACTTCCAATTGTCCCCACACATACAGGAGACAAACTCCCAAAGGTTTAAGTGTGTTGGTCTGGCAGACTCTTGTTTATATGTGGAATAATCACATAAAACACTGTGTGCGGCATGCTGACAGCGCACATTAAGAGCTGATTATTGCTATTGTTCTTTGAGCTGTACACACATTAATAGCACTTCCTTAACTTATCTTCTAGTAAAGGAGGCTCTTCATCAAAACTGTCAATGTAAGAAGATGGTGAATAATAATCCTGGTTGGATGCTGGCTGAAAGAATTGTCCCGCATAACTGGATGACACGAGCATCTCTGGTGGGACGAAGGCAGCCTGAGGCTGCTCACTGGCTTGTTGTCTAGAAAAAGGAAAATACTGATATTTACACATCTAAGAAAGGGCTATTACGACAAATCAAGGAAGGAAACTACCATTTTCCTTTTATGATTTCTCCTAGTTTTTATGACTATTTACCCATGAAAGAATTAACTTGCTTGACGTTTAAATTTAATCAAAAAAAGTGACTAGTTGTGAGAAAACTCTCTAGAAGAATGATCCATATTGACTAACATGTATTGATAATTTACAACGTGCTGGCCACTCTCCTTCACATTTTCTCACGTAATTAAAACTCTGCAAGGTAAAAACCGTAGTTTTAACCCCATCTGACAGAAAAAGAAATACAGGTTCATGGAGACTGAATGACTTGCCTGGTAACACACAATAACATTCAGGTGCTGGACTGTGAACTGAAACTGTCTGAGCAGTGCCCTGATCCCTACACAATGCTGCTTTTTCACTGGTTTGCAGGGACAGTCACCAAACAGGACATTCCCTATAAATCTGTGGAGGCAGCAAGTAAAAAATCATAGTCATACTAAGTGAAGTCAGACAGACAGAGAAAGACAAATATCATATGCTATTGCTTATATGTAGAATCTAAAAAAAAAAAAAAGATACAAATGAACTTATTTACAAAACAGAAATAGACCCACAGACATAGAAAACAAACTTATGGTTACTAAAGGGGAAAGAGGGGGAGGGATAAATTAGGAGTTTGGAATTAACATATACACACTACTATGTTTAAAATAGATAATCAACAAGAACCTACTGTATAGCACAGGGAACTATACTCAATATCTTGTAGTAACCTATAATGGAAGAGAATGTAAAAGAAGAATATATATATATATATATATATATATATATATATATATATATATAACTGAATCACTTTGCTGTACACCTGAAACTAACACAACATTGTAAATCAACTATATTTCAATAAAAATTTTTAAAAATCAAAATTTTAATAGTAGTCAATTCATAGGAAAAAAAAAAACACCTAAACTGACCGTTGTCCATCAAGGAGTAGACTTTTTAGCTCTGGCTATTCCCAGACAGTTATTGACAATCAAATTATCTTTGAGAACCTGACTTAAAAGTCTTCCGTAGCTGGCTTCACTGTCCGTCTTTTGAAATGTGCAGTATAGTTTTGTTGAAACACCATATTACAATATTTCCTTGATTGTGCTTCTATTTGGTTTTTATTTCACCATTTGTGTGAGAAAGTTGGAAAGCAATCTTAGTAAATAACTTCTTGCAGGAAGAGAAAGGAAGGAAGAAGAAAGGGCTCATCCATGAGGTTATTTGGTCATTTCAAATTGTTTTTACCGAAAGGAAAGGAAAGGAAAGGGAAGGGAAGGGAAGGGGAGGGGAGGGGAGGGGAGGAGACAAGAGGAGAGGAGAGGAGAGGAGAGGGAAGGAAAGGGAAGGGAAGGGAAGGGAAGGGAAGGGAAGGGAAGGGAAGGGAA